GTTGCTTAAGCACTGGACACTTGGGTTAAGGCCTTTATTGACATACAGAGATAATTCACATACCATATAATTCTCCCATTAGAAGTGTACAGTACAGTGATTTTTAGTATATTCACAGAGCTGCAACCATCACCATAGTCCGTTTTAGAACATTTTCATTACTCTAGAAAGAAATCTTGCACCCATTATGTGCTACCTCCCAACCCCCTGCACCCTCCAGCCCTATCCAGCCACTAATCTACTTTTTCTCTCTATGGGTTTGCCTACTCAGAACAGTTTTTGTAAATGGAATCATCCAATGTAGTCTTCTGTGACTTCTTTCACTAAGCCTAATGTTTTCAAGCTTCATTCATGTAGCATGTATCTATACTTCATTCGTTTTAGGGCTGAATAACATTCCAAACATTGCATTTTGTTTGTCCATTTATCAGTTGATGGACATATGAGTTTTGGCTGTATTATGAATATACCACTATGAACTTTCATGTACAGATTTTTTTGTGAATGTACATCTTCATTTCTCTTGCAGATACCAAGGAGTGGAATTTCTGGATCATAAAGTAACTCTATGTGTAACTTTTTAAGATATTGCCAAACTGTTTTCCAAAGTGGCTGTACCATTTTATATTTCCAGCAGCAGTGTATGAAGTTTCTGATTTCTTTACAGTCTCATGAATACTTACTATTATCTGTCTTTTCCATGTTAGCCTTCCTAAGGGCATGTGACATGGTATCTCATTTATAGTGGGTTAGATTTGCATTCTCTGACGCTGAGTCAGGTTTGTTGTTGCACATATATATATGTAAGGGACAGGAGGCAGACAGTGCTTCTAAATCACAACTGGACTAGGTTAAAGTTATTATGATCCACTTAAATTTATTCCCAGTCACTAGATATCATGACTCTTACATCCCCAGGTCGGATAACTTAGCAAATCTTAAGTGCAGTCGGATAACTTAGCAAATCTTTAGTGCAGTCTTCTGTTCAGATGCCCAGTGTATCACCAACACAGGGACCTGTTTCTCTTCCTGGATTACTGTTTCTTGGTGTTGATTTAACCAATATACTATAATTGAGCCTTATGAAAAAAGTATGCCAAAATTTGACTCCTGGTTAAAAGAGAATATCCTGAAGGTGTTGACAGTGATCTTTATAAGACACCTTTGTTTAAGTAATGGGTTTGTAATAAACTTAGATGAGAGTAAGGAAAATATGTTTAAACAGATGAAATCGGAAGTAAATTGAGTAGCCCAGGGGTGGAGATCAGGAATATCTGAGCCAAAAAGAATATTTAAAACCTTGTTTACTTTGAATTGTCTTTATCAACAACTTGGGTTCTGTAAAGAAGATGTTTCCTTTTCAGTGAAAGCCTTAATTTTATCATCCAGTATAATAGATGAAACCTGTTATGGTATAGACAGTGCACAGTGAGGAGGCAGCCTGGGTTTCAGTTTAGCAGTGTAGTCAATAGTTACGTCTTTTGGTGTGAATGCTGTAATTACATAAATAACCCATGTGGAAAGGAGATTCACTGAGGTGCTTGATGAATCATTTTTACTGCACCTGTAGATAAGGGTCACAGTGTTTAAAATTTCATCCTTGTGGTTAACTGGAATATGTGCTCCTGGTGTTAGCATAGATTTTAAGGCCATCATAATTATGGTTGTTTATAACATATTATAAAGAACCTATGTGTGAAGATCTCTTGGTTAATTTTTAATTACTCTTGGTGGAGGTGGGGGTATGTTGAGAACATATTTGAACCCAGGAAATTATAAGTAAGTTGTATTCCCTCCTCCCAAATGATATAAGATTATATATGGGCCATACTAGGTTAATGATGGTTAAAAAAAATTTTTTTAAGTGGTTGTACTTAACCTAAATGTAAAACATAAAACTCCTGGAGGATAATATAGGAGAAAATATACATGACCTGGAGTATGGCAGTGACGTTTTAGATATAACATCAAAGGCAGAATCCATGAAAGAAACAGTTGAGAGACTAGATTTCATTAAGATTTAAACTGTCTGCTCCATAAAAGATGGTGTCAAGAGAATGAGAAGATTAGCCTCGGAATGGGAGAATATATTTGCAAAAGGCACATCTGATAAAGGACTGTTATCAAAAATATAGAAAATACTTAAACTCAACAATAAGAAAACAAACAACCTAATTAAAAAAGGGGCAAAAGACCCAAATCGGTGCTTCAGGGAAAAGGATATATTGATAGCAAGTAAGCATATGAATAGATGTTCAGTTTCATATGCCATTATGGAATCGTGAATTAAAACAGCACTGGGACACTGCATTCTTGGAGAATGGCCAAAATCCAGAATACTGACAAAACCAGGTGCTGGCCAGGATGTGGAGCAGCAGATGCTGTCTTTCGTTCCTGGTGGAAACTCAAAGGGGTGCAGCCACTTTGGAAGACAGTTTGGTAGTTTCTTACATTGCCAAACACATTCTAACCATATGATCCCTCAGTCAGCACTCCTTAATATTTACCCAAATGATTTGAAAGCTTATGTCCACAGGAAAACCTGCACCTGGATGTTTATAGCAGCTCACAACTGCCAAAAACTTAGCAACCAACACATCCTACATCCGCAGAGTGGAATATTACCCAGCACTGAAAAGAAGTGAGCATTTAAGTCATGAAAAGACACTGAGCAAACTTAAGTGCATATTACTAAGTGGAAGAAGCCAATCTGAAAAGGCTGCATACATACTATATGATTGTAACTGACATTCTGAAAGAGGTAAAACTATGGAGACAGTGAGAAGATGAATTGTTTCTAGGCATAGAAAGGAGGGAAAAAATGCATAGACAGTGCTCAGGATTCAACAAAAATACTGTATCACTATGGGGGTGTGTGTGTGTGTGCGTGCGCTCGTGCCGCTCAGTCGTGTCTGACTCTCTGGAGTGTGTGTGTGTGTGCACGCGCGGGCTGCTCAGTCGTGTCCGACTCTTTGCAATCCCATAGACTCTAGCCCACCAGGTTCATCTGTCCATGGAATTCTCCAGGCAAGAATACTGGAGTGGGTTGCCGTTCCCGTCTCCAAGGGATCTTCCTGACCCAAGGTTCAAACCCGAGTCTCCTGCATTGCAAACAGCTTCTTTACCATCTGAGCCGCCAGGGAAGCCCACATATCACTATACATTTGTCTAAACCCATAGAATCATAAAACCAAGAGTGAGACCTAATGTAAGCTGACTTTTGGTGATAATCTTGTCAGTGTAGGCTCACTGATAACAGGTGTGCCTCTGTGGTGTGGGATGTGGCAGTGGGAGAGGCTGTACTTGAGTAGAAATAGAGAACTCTTTACTTTTTTGCTTAATTATACCATGAACCTAAAACTGCTCTAAAAGAAAGTTTGTCAATTTCCTTCTTTAAAAAAAAAGTCATTGTGGAGCTAATTGGCTTTTCAGATATTTGCATCCCTGTTTTGTGCTGTGCTGGGTAAGGCATTCTAAGAGGTCAGAGCACAGTGGAAAAGTTCAGAATCTAATGGACTCTTGAGAAAACAGCGGTTTTTCTGGGCGTTGTGGGATTTCTGATTTCCAGACCTGACTTTGTCATGCTTCCTGTCCCTTTTAGGACTAGTAGGCTTGGTCAGGTAATAAATGCATCCCTGTTTGACAAACTTCGATCCAGAGACTGAGAAGTCTTAAGTTTTGTCCATCATTGATGCTGGAAGATAGGCACTGAGTAGAAAAATGAGTAAATGGGCATTTGGTTTGCTGTCTGGGGAGGGTTCTCTTGTGTATTATTGTTGTATGCTCTTACGGTTCATGTAAAGACAGTGACTAAAGACAGTCAGAATTTTTTCAGGAATCTGAAAATTACTGGCTTGGGTTTCAAACCTGTTCTTTATCTGATAAAGTTCTATGTTACACATTCTTCGATTTCTTTTATTGTCAAAGATAATTATGCTCACTCATATTTAGGTTTTGTGCATACTTGGATTGTTTTAAATTGTACTTTACTTTTGTTGAAGGAGTATAGTCACATGGTTCAGAAATTAAAATGCTGTTAAAATGCGCATTGTCCTTGCTTCTACTCTTGTCCTTGTCTTTGGCATGGTTGGTAAAGAGTGTTGAAATTACTATAAGCTCCTTAACTCATCCTGCAAAGTTGGTGGCTGCCTGGGAGACCAAAAACAAAATAAAAAAAAATAAATAATGTTTATTGAGAGCTTACTATATACTATGCCATGTTTACAATAATATGAAAAAGCATGCACACTTAACATTCCCATTTTATAGATAAGAAAGTTGAGGCTTCAGAAAGGTTAAGAAATTTAACCCACATAAGTAGCAGATATCAATGATAGGATTCAAAGCTAAGCAATTTTTTTAAAATCATGAGCATTTTGAAAATTAATGAGGAACTAGTTAATGGAATCCCATATATCCATCACTGAGATTCAGTAGTTGTTAAGATTTTACATTTACGTGATCAGTTCTTTTTCCTTTGTTTCTATAGTTTTTTAAAACACGTCCTAAATATCGTGTTAGATTGCTTCTGTGCATCTCTGAGATATGCCTTTGTCTTCTTATGTAGTGACAATGCCTTTTATGCATTCCTCCAAATAGTTAGAATGATAAAGAAAAGAAGCTGGCCATATGACCTAGGCTGTCAATTCAACCTACAGAAAACTCTTCATTTAGTTATGAAAGGGTGGGATGATTTCTACACAGTGGTATGGTTTTTCACAAAGGCAGTAATGGCTGACCCACACTGAACTCAGATAAAGGATACAGAGGCCCGTGGCAACCAAAACTGTCCTGATAGTGAGCTGTGCCTCTTTGTTGAGCTTCATGCAAACCAGCTTTCCAAAGAAATTACCATCTACATAAAACAGTTAAACAGTTAATTTAATCCTGAGAGCTAAATCAAGCTGTGAGTTTTAAATAGATTGTACATTGGTTTTTGATACATGGAATATTTCTGCTGGACTCATGGCATGAAACTTACACTTATTATTTTTTTTAAGGTCTTTGATTTGCGGCAGTGTCATCGTCAGATGCAGCAGCAGGCAGCCACGGCACAAGCTGCAGCAGCTGCCCAGGCAGCAGCCGTGGCAGGAAACATCCCGGGCCCAGGGTCAGTAGGTGGAATAGCCCCAGCCATCAGTAAGTATGCTTTTGATTTTTTTTTTTTCCAAGTGTAGTAGATGGTGCTTTATCTTGATTGACTCAGTTAATTAGTTACTTTAACCAGTAATAGAAAGTGAAGTTCTTTTTACTGGGATAATAACATTTTTGAATTTGTAAAAAAAAAAACAAAAACCCCAAAAAACTGTTCGTCTGTAATAGTTGCCCTTTGTTTACGGCCCTGTGTTCATTCTTTTTGTATCAAAAAAGGGACTGTGGGATGAAGAAAGGGGGTTGTTGTTATTATATTGATCAGTCTCCCCTATTTTTGTTGATGCTTTTAATTCTTGGCTCACCAGCCAGGGTGGGTTGTAATCACTGATGTGCTTTGCTTTATTCTAGAAGGAAAGCATATTTCAATTTCACAAATAGACATCTCTCCAACTTTTTTTTTAAAGTATACTAAGCATGGAGAGAAAACTAAGTGAGGGTGGTATTTTGATAACTTGTAGACTTTTTTTTAATTTTAGGGTAAAATTGAACTGTGTGCCAGGTTTCACACTGATGGGGAATTTTTTACTGCAGAGTTAAACTCCTGACTATAGACTTTTATGATGGAAACACGTGGCACCCATCTTCCACGTCTGAAGGCATAACTAGTGATTCATTCAACCCCTGTTCTTAACCTCTTCAGTGTGGTAAGCAAATCACACTGGCTAAGAAAACTGCAGTGGCCCTGCAGGTTTCTCTACAGTACATGCAAATTCCTCCCATTAGTTTCATTGTAATATTGATGAATGCAGATTGACTATATGACTGTATGTTCTGACTGGAGAATTAGAAGCAGAGTCTCCATTGTGACTTATGCTCAGGAGTTTACAATTTTGAGGTAGATAAGGCATACTCATTTATAGAATTTGATTTTTTAAAAAAAAATTTGGGCATCTAAACAATTAATTTGCTAGTTTTGATGTTACAAATATGCTTTTAGTGAAGAATCCAGAGCTGTTACTAAATTTCTCCTTCTCATCTACTGCCCCCCATTGAGTAATTATATACTATCTCTGTTACATTGTGAAACTGAGAGACAGACATCATCTGGGTCATTCAAGAAGTCTTAGTGGAACCAGGACTGTTTTCTGTCTCATTGTTAGTCATGTCTTACCCTGAACTAGACCGTTTAGACAGAGAGTGAAGTTCTTAGAACCAGCGTGTAGACATGCACTGCCTCTTAAAAACAAGTTGTTTCTTATCCCTTCACCTCCACTACTAAAGAGAAAAAGCAGATGGGGTGTTGGTGGATTGTGGTAATTTATAATTAATGGTAGCTAGAAGACCCATGTGGAATATACATTGTCTTAACCAAAAGTTTTCAGTCCCTGTTGACAAAGTATAGATCTATACTTACTTTTTGGCACTTTGACAGAGAAGTCTTGTGCTGGGGAGAATGCAGTAAAGAAAGCTGGTCACCTTGTTAATGTAAGATTTAGGGGGGATGGGAAGGGGTCAGCCTGTCCTGCTGACGTCTTCCAAATCTTTTCTGTTAGGTTTGTCGGCTGCTGCCGGAATCGGTGTGGATGACCTCCGTCGTTTATGCATACTCAGGATGAGTTTTGTGAAAGGCTGGGGACCTGATTACCCAAGACAGAGCATCAAGGAAACACCTTGTTGGATTGAGATTCACTTACACCGGGCCCTCCAGCTCCTTGATGAAGTCCTTCACACCATGCCTATTGCCGACCCACAGCCTTTAGACTGAGGTCTTTTAACTTACTGTTGGGGCCCTTACCATTTTCAGGATGGTGGACTATAAGATGCAATCCTGTTTATAATCTGAAGATATATTTCACTTTTGTTCTGCTTTATCTTTTCATAAAGGGTTGAAAAATGTGTTTGCTGCCTTGCTCCTAGCAGACAGAAACTGGATTAAAACAATTTTCTTTTTCCTACTTAGAACTTTTCAGGCATGGCTCAGAGCTTGAAGATTGGGACAAATACATTCTTATTAAATCTTCACCAGTTATGTTTGAAGGAATCATTCCAATGCTGGAAAATTTAGCCCTTTAAAATGTTTTAGAGCCTTTTATATGCAGAACATCAATATGTGTGTTATTCTACAGAATAAATTTAATATTGCTCATTTTAAAGGCAGAGAAGTTCTCAAAGTTAATTCACCTATGTTATCTTGTGTGTGAGTTGTTGTTGTTGAACATACTTTACTCCAAAATATTGTGCCATGTGGGTGAGTTAATTTTACCAAGAGCAACTTTACTCTGTGTTTAAAAAAGATAGTAGTGTATTATAACCTTTTATCCAAAATATTTTTTTCAAGTTAAACTAGTGAAGATGATTTTAACTCAGATTGTCTTGCGACTTCAATTTTTCTTTTGCCAAGGCAAAACACTAATCTGTGTATATTGAGAATTCCTTAAAATTATCAGACAAAGGAGTATCATTTAAAGTTACATTTGTTATTTTTGTTGGATAACTATTTATCAATAAATATACTTTTGCCCTGTTAAACAGTAGATGTATTCTGTATTTCTAGGCACAGGGTTGGTTACTAAGGAGCCTAGAAGAGGAATTTCTTTCCTTCCTTAACATAGGGAAAGATTTTATATTTTTAAAAACACTAAAAGCAGTGTCACTCCATCTAATACCTTACCATTCTGCACAGGTGGCAATGCTAAGCTAAATAATGAGTATTTTGGAAACCGCTAAATTCTTTGTCAAGTACTGTGCAGGATAATAGAAACATTACCATTCATCGATAGGTAGTTTGGATATTTTTGTACTTGATTTGATGTGTGACTTTTTTTTCGTATACTGTTTAAATCATGTATGTTATGACATTGTTTAAAATTCAGTTTTTGTATCTTGGGGCAAGACTGCAAACTTTTTTATACCTTTTGGTTATTCTAAGCCCTTTGCCATCAATGATCATATCAGTTGGCAGTGACTTTGTATAGAGAATTTAAGTAGAAAAGTTGCAAATGTATTGACTGTACCACAGACACAATATGTATGCTTTTTACTTAGCTAGTAGCATAAATAAAACTGAATCTCAACATGCAAAGTTGAACTCTAGGTTTGATTTTTAACTCTTTTTTTCTTTTGCACTTTTGAGTCCAACCTTAGTGGTGAGACGCCTTCTACTAAATGACAGGCAACAGCTAGTACTATTGGGCAGCTTTGGTTTTCTTCTCCCACTCTACTAGGACTCCCCGTGGACGTTATGTATCAAGTGTAGGGTTGGTTATTTTTTTCACTTTTATTTTACTGTAGCAAAGCTAGGCCTGATTGTCTATAAGATAAATAGGTTGTCTGCAGGATAAATAGTGTGAAATAAAATCAAAGATTATCTTTCAGATGTTTTTGCTTTTTTCAAAATGGAGGGCCTTTCTTAGTGTAATAAGATTATTTCAGGTGTGTTACAAGTTTGAGACATGAGAAATACTTACGCATGATAATCATCCTTATATCAGTTTAAATCAACAAGTCGTCTTCTTCCTTGCTTAGGTCTTCTTAATAAGACCATCCTAGAAACCACTGAGTTTGCTTATTTCTGTGCTTTAAACATATCTTAATCCAAGCTACATGTCTTTTGTTTTTTAAAATAACATTTCTACCAACTCATTTATACTCTTGAGTTCTTACAAACACTTCTGTTAAAGACCTAATTCTAACCTGTAAAAATGTGGTGATTTTACACTTTATTGGCAAATTTTCTAAAAAGGTATCTTCATTCTCTAGGAATTTTTGACTTTAGGTCTGTTTTACTGTGAATGAAGAGTAGGAGCGAGAGGAGAGAGTTTTAGAGTAACAGATTTTTAAAACTGAGTTTATTTGATTAGAACTATAAGCATGCTATAATACATTGCCCCTTTTTCTGCTTTAAAGGAAGTTTACGTGTTTAATCATCTGGGGGAAGTATTGTGGAAAATATTTGCTAAGTAGTCTGTCTTTGAGTCTAGGCCACCCACCTTGGTTGCTTTTTGCAAAGAGCCATAAAAATACTACAAGTACATAGAAGTACTTCTAGTTATTATTTGCTTTATATTCGTGCCTAGGTTCAGTCACATGCTTTTGAGAAAACATTTAGTATATTATAATCAGTTATTTCTGAGGGTCTTAGTTGTTGAACAGTATTTACATTTCTTAGAGGTAGTCATCTTTGATGAGCAAGACTAAAAGAACCACTGGGTTTAAGATTTTATGGCTATTTTAAGAGTAGAAGAGTTTCCACATTTCTTGGAATCTGACTGTTAGGAGGATAGGGTTCTGGGTGGGTTTTCTCTAGCTAGCTCATCTCTCGGAAATGCTCAGAATGTTGAATTTCGGTGAAAACTGAGCAGAGTTGAACCAGGTACGTACCTTTATGATCCAGTGTGAGGCCTCTCCACTTCCCTCTAGTGCCTTTCAGCGCATTGTCAAAGGGAATCCTTAAATCCAAAATGGTGTTGTTGCCTTTAATTTCCAGGGGGTAGGTTCTTCTGTGGGATGTAGTCTTATCTCATTTTTTATAGTATACTACTCCTGTTATACAAAGATAGTGATAATAAATCACTGCCATATAACCTTGTTTTTCTAGAAGCATGGCTCATTTGTATTGACCTGACTACTAAATAGGTTGCCTATCCCATTCCTCTTGTAAACATTGTAGGTTTACAGTTTAGGTGATCTGGCTTAAGGAGAACTATACTCAAAATATCCAGATAAACTGAACACATATCAGTTGTGTTGCACTTCAAAGTCAAAAATCCACTTTCATGAGGAAGGGTGTAGTGTAAAGGAGTATTTGTGATAGAACATTTGACGGCAGAATAAAATGTCCTGTCTTCCAGATGATAAATATCTTATTTTAAAAGCTTAATTGCAGTTGTCTTCTTGACCATGTCCACCTAAAGAAGGGGAATTTTACATTTTTCCCATGGTGCTCCTTAAGTATCAGTGGAGGTTAAAGAATATATGATGAAGTATTTCTGTTCTTGATTTGGTGGTAACTAGTTAATAGTTACTCACTAGTGATTATACGAAATCAGATTAGTTCTGAACATTTTTGAGAGCCTTTTGGAAGGAACAGTGTTATTCTGAGTAAGGCAGAATCCTTTTTGTTGATAGTTTCTAAAGGTTGTTTGCACCATCACTGAGTCATTTTACTGGCATTGTATTTAATGACAACAGATTGCGAAAATGGAGTGTTTTAAGTTACTGGGGTAAATGAGTATATGAAAGTAATTACCTGTAAAGTCAGTTCACAACTCCTATGGATGGGCTTGGCTAAGACTTGCAGATGGAAGAAATGCTTTTTTTCCTTCCTAAAGGCAGGACCCCTCTTGTTGCAGATAGCTATCTGTAAAATAATCGCCTAAGCCCTCTTTTGCAAGATGATAGAAAATGGGATATGAGAGCCTTGTGTGCAACCTTTCCATTTTTTTCTCAGACAACTAGATAATTTCTTTTCTCCTAGTATATATTAGGAAGGACATAAAAAGCTAGTGACCTTATTCATAGCATCCTCAGGCCCAGCCTTGTCCCTAAGCACTTGCCCCAGTGTTGCTAGAGTGTTTATCTTACTCTTCTGCTGTCACCACAGAATGGGAGTTTTTGCATAATCCAAATTTACCTTATTTAAGCAGTAAAACTTTTTCTACTGTGCTCATTTTCTGTCGTGGAGTTATTTGATATGTGTATCAGAGAACATTGGATGTGGTGTTTCTCTTGTGCCTCCTGGCTTATAGACTTCAGGGGCTGCTAAGACATGTGGGACAGTCTTACCTTCACTGAATGGTCGCAGGCTGCTGTGGTTTGGAATGTTTGGTTTTGTTATACGCAGACCCCTTCCTTCCCCCATCCCCATTAATGACAGCAGCCACTTCCTGTGTGTTGTCAGTATACCTCCCCTTTCTTCCTTCTCCCCTTTCTGATTGATTTTCCTGACTGCTTAGGCAAGAAAACCGGATAACCATACTTACTAGAACTTTCTTTAAAACACGGGCAAACTGGGACAGGACCCAAGAAACTTTCCTGTAAAGTATTGAAAAGGACTTTAGGGCTTTAGCATTTGATATCAGTTTGACTGCTGAGTGTGCTTCCTGATCCTTGCTGAGTTTCAGGTAGTTGAGAATAGAGAGAAGTGAGTCGTACTCGTATTTTTTCCCCCTTGAAAGGTTTTGTTGCTTCCACTTGAGTGCTGCTCAAAACAAAAACTGGGGTTACAAAGTGTTGGTTGGTTACAAAATGAGCATCAATAGTCAAAGGCAGCATCGCTGCCTAGAGGACACCAGCAAAAAAAGAACACAGCAAAAAAATGAAAGCTTGGAAAATGAAAGGGTTATTTTTGTTTTGTTTTGGTGTCCCTTTTTGAGTCCTATCTTTTGGCTTTCCTCCTCACAGATATTTTTGACCTTTAGGTGCCTTTATGAGAATTGAGGGTCTGATAACCTGCCCCAAGGAGTAGCTAAAGTGATTGCTGATGTTTTCAGGGATTTTAACATCAGCCTTGAATGAGTGAATGAACCTTTTTTCTTCCCCTTTCATCTTTTTTTTTTTTTAATGTAGGAAGAACAAAGGAGAAAACTGGTGAAGACAATCATTTCTCTCTACTGATGTGGATAATTTTCAGTTTATCTCAGATGCTTTCTCAAATAGGTCTCAGAACCAGTGTTCTTGCTCAGCCTGAAATGAGTGGCTCTGGGCTGGGGCCAGAAGCTGCACCCTCTAGTTTGCGCTCTGCCGCTAAAACTTGATGTATATGAC